CGGTCCCAATATGCCCTGAACAGTAACTTTTTATTTTTTTTTTCTAGGTTACTTTTGGTGAATTTAAAAATTTTTCATGTATAATATATTTAAAGTTTTACATATTTTAAGTCATTATTTTAAGTAATTATTCCAAGCATAATTTATTTTTTTTATAAATGCATTTATTTTAAAATGTAAAATATATTTTTGCATTATTTGGTAATATTACGTAATTATTAAATAAAATAAATCTGTTTTTTTATTTTTTTTTAATGATATATACGGACCGATCCCGGTCCGTATATAGGTATACGGACTGGGATCGGTCCCAATATGCCCTGAACAATAACTTTTTATTTTTTTTTTCTAGGTTACATTTGGTGAATTTTAAAATTTTTCATGGATAATATATTTAAAGTTTTACATATTTTAAGTCATTATTTTAAGTAATTATTCCAAACATATTTTATTTTTTTATAAATGCATTTATTTTGGAGGGTAAAATATATTTTTGCATTATTTGGTAATAGTACGTAATTATTAAATAAAATAAATCTGTTTTCTTTATTTTTTATTTGTTTTTTCACATGATATATACGGATCGATCCCGGTCTGTATATAGTTATACGGATCGAGATCGGTCTGTATATTCAGTGAACAGCAGCTTTTTTTTTTTCTCGGTTACATTTGGTTAACTTTAAAATTTTTTATGTATATATGTTTATACTTACTAAATAAGTACAATTTTTATTAAGTACATAAATTCATACTTAATTTTTATTAAGTATATAAGAAATCCTTCGGAGTGCATATATTCGGACCGATATCGGTCTGTATATATATACGGATCGATATCGGTCCGTATATGCCCTTAACAACAGCTTTTTATTTTTTTTGTTATTTCATACTTAACTCGTTCTACTCTCGTTTTAAACTGTAACATTCTGAATGTTTACAAACCAAAGTGGTTAAGCTAAAAAAAAATAGTTAATTTTATTTGCTTTTGGCTTCGAAAGAGCATTACATAACATTATCTCTAATAACCTTTAACTTATACGTTCGTGGTTTTGCAACGATATTACTCCGTACCATCGTAAGATAACTTTAGGTAGATAATCGATGGTTTTGTGGTTCTAAGGGACTGTAGGGTTGATGTACATGCAATTGGTTTTCGCAGGAATGGATTTAGGACACGAGAAAATGATAATGTCCTTAAATGAAAAGAATAAAAATGTGAACTGGGAGAAGTTTCTGGATTTTTTCGAGTATATTCGGACCAAAATTGGTCTGAAAAATGAAAACATGGAAGCTTCTGGATTCTTTGCATATATTCAGACCAAAACCGGTCCGTATATATATATATATTCATACTTAATTTAATTTAGCTTTAGGATAAAAAAATCCCTCGAGTGCTTATATTCGGACCGATATTGGTCTGTATATATATATACGGACCGGGATCGGTCCGTATATGCCCTTAACAACAGCTTTTTATTTTTTTTTGTTATTTCATGCTTAACTCGTTCTACTCTCGTTTTAAATCGTAACATTCCGAATGTTTGCAAGCCAAAGTGGTTAACCTAAATAAAAAAAAATAATTTTATTTGCTTGTGGCTCCGAAAGAACATTACGTAACATTATCTCTAATAACATTTAATTTATACGTTCATGATTTTGCAACGATATTACTCCGTACCATCGTAAGATAATTTCAGGTAGACAATCGATGGTTTTGTGGTTCCAAGGGACTGTAGGGTTGATGTACATGCAATTGGTTTTCGCAGGAATGGATTTAGGACACGAGAAGATGGTAATGTCCTAAAATGAAAAGAATAAAAATGTGAACTGGAAGAAGTTTTTGGATTTTTTCGAGTATATTCGGACCAAAATCGGTCTGAAAAATGAAAACATGGAAGCTTCTAGATTCTTTGCATATATTCACACCAAAATTGGTCCGTATATATATATATATTCATACTTAATTTAATTTAGCTTTAGGATAAAAAATCCCTTGGATTGCCCATATTCGGACCGACACCGGTCCGTATATATGGATTGAGGACACGAGAAGATTATGATGTCCTTAAATGAAAAGAATGAAAATGTGCACTGTGAATTTTTTCCCAATATATTCGAACCAAAATCGGTCCGAATATATTATTAATGCGCCAAAAATTTCCCGAAAAGATTGAAAGTTTTTGATGCGCCGGAAATTTTTTCCCAATATATTCGAACCAAAATTGGTCCGAATATAAGCCTTATCCCTTGTTTTCTAAATACATATACGGATCGAAATCGGTCTGTAATTAATTTATGCGCCAATTTTTTACCGTAAATTTGAATTTTTTGATTCTGCGCTAATTCATTTATATTTAGACCGATTTCGGTCTGAATATTATTAATGCGCCAAAATTTTTCCCGAAAAAATTCAAAGTTTTAGGTGCGGCACGCCAATAAGGATTATACGGACCGAAAACGGTCCGTATAAGCCTTATATATATCACCACTTCTCTTCATTTTCCTCATTTTCTCTTCTTCCTCTCTTTCTTTTCCTTTCTTCCT